GCTAGGATTATAGATATTAGCCTACTGGCACCAGGCTTAATTTTATTTTTAAGAGTAATTTACATTTTAAGGACACATTTGCTATCATGTAAAAGGTATTACCAATTATATTATAATTTAAAACGTGAAAATCATTATACGACATAAGCTTAATTAACCCCCCCACAAAGGTGAAAACCCATTTCTCTCTGTTAAAAAGGAATCTATTGCCTCCACTCTCATCTGCTCCACTTAGTGATAAGCAGAGAGGAATTGTGATCAATGTGTGTACCATGAATTCCAGCTGATAGTCCATCACCTGGACATATCTTTCAATCAACTAGAGTTTTAGTCTTTATTGGCCTTCAGTACTTTCAATATTCTAGTCACTAAATGATTGGCAGTATACTGTAGTCCTTTTCATGACTGAGTAAGGAGAAGGGATTAACTAAAATTCAACCAATTTGGGTTCTATTTTTTCCACTTTGCTTTTTTTCTTTTCTTCCTGTCTTTTTTGTTGTTGTTGTTAGTCCTGGATCTTGAACTCTGGGTCTGGAGCGTCTGAGCACATTCCCTAAGCTCCACTTCTATCAATTTTGGTGCATAATTGGAGATGAGAGTCTCACTAACTTTCCTGCCCTGACTGGCTTCAAACCTTGATCCTCAGATCTCAGCCTCCTGAGTAGCTAGAATTATAGGTGGGAGCCACTAACACCCAACTACTTTGCTGTGTTTTAACGGTATTCAAATAACTATTTCTCAAGTCTTCATTTTCTAATTAAAAAACATATGCATAGGACAAGAATGCATCCTTTTCCACATCACCACAACTGCTAGTTCATGAATGGTCTTCTCTAAATACTAATTGCTCATCTAACAACTACACCTCCTCTGAATGTTCCCGGATTTCAAGTGGTCTCATCTTTTAATTCTGTATCTAGAGTTACCTTCCTGAAGCCAAAATAGAACGGTGCTCTCCTTCTGCTTTCTGCTTATGGCAATGTAATGGTTTCTTAAGATAAAACAAAGCTTCTAACATAATGTACAAAACAGTCATTTTTCCTTACTCACATTTCTAGCCCATTTTTCCCTGTAACTCGCTCTCCCTGCTACAGCCACATTGACCTTTTCCGGCTCATTATCCTAACTATGCTCCCTCCAGCCACTGGTTCTATACATGAATTTCCCTCAACCTGGAATACTCTTCTCTTCCTTCCTCACTTAAACCTATTCATCCTCTGATCTCAGCTTAAGTGACATTTCCCTACAGATGATTAGTCTAATGCTATGTTTGAAACTATCTCACTGTCATTCTTTCTTATTTTGTACTTACATTTTCAATTTTATTACAAATCACATGATTAATCAGCATTTATGTTCCTCATCAGACTAGACATTACCTTTAAAGCAAAAGCTTTGTCTAAATTATCTCACCATCAGATCTTCAGCATAGGCAGACCACAGTTGCTCTGTAAATATTTCTTGGTTGAGAACTTAATAGGTTCCTTAAGGTTCCTCAAGATAGATATTATAAAGTATCTAAGTATATACATAATGTATTTATACAATACCAGACATATAATGCACAATGTATTTTCCTTAGCATGAAATTATTCTTCCTACTAATTATTCTTCAGTGTGGTCTTCCTTGATTTCGTTTGCAGTCCGAACATCTGAGTTTAGATAACAAAGCTAAATACAGTTTTTCTTTTTCTGCCAGCACTGAAGTTTTGCCTTAGGACCTTGTGCTCTCGGCTTGCTTGCTCATGGCAGGAGCTTTACCACTCAAACCCCAACTCCACCTTAGCATTTTGCCAGTTACTTGTTGATGGGATCTCTTAGAATTTTCTGCCCAGGCTGTCTTCAAAAGGAGATCCTTTAAGTGTCAGTTTCCTGAGTGAGTAGCTGGGATAACAGGCATGAGGCACCTACACCAGACTAGAATTTCTTAATAAAGATTTTCCTTCACATTATTCACTGACAAACTATGCAGTTTCTACTCATTTTCTTTCTGTTTATTAGCATTAATATGGATATTGTATACTAATGTTAGAAAATTCAATCTACCCATGCATTTTTGTGTATCTCTGATTTCTTTCATTTTATTAGCATGAATATTAGCATAGGAAATATTATGTTTCCTACAATTAAAGCATTAACCCTCAACGTACTTACAAATGCACAAACATTAACATGAATAATTATCCAGATGACAAATTCATCTGCAGCTACAAATATCTGTCTTATAATTATTTTGAATAGTGGAATAAGTCTTGGGAATGCAAATGGTTTTCATCTTTATAAGATCATTAATACAAAAAGAAATCACCATTATCTGAGACCACCATTATCTGAGAGGGGAAGAAATTGCCAAATGGCCTACAGAGATCTCTTACCCAAAGAATTTCTAGCCATACATCACCCTCTAGCTCAAGCTATAACCTGGCTATAGCCCTAAGCAGAAGGTTGGAGAAAGATCAAAACAGTGTTTTGGAACAGATACTAACAGTAAAAAATGAAGTTCCGATCACATGTCAGATTTTTAGAGTTAAATAAACATAAGATTATCAAATTCCAATCCATTTTTTATATATGAGAGAAAACAAAGGGTTAAGGGGAGAGGAGTCATTTGTCTAAGGCCACAGACCAACTGGCACAACCAGAACTGAAAGCCAGGTGTCTTAGTAGTTCCTTATTTTTCTGTCCATGCTTTTATGAGCGTCAATTAGTTGTACTGGGGCAGAGGGGGGTGATTTTGTTTTGACATGTCCATATATGCATACATTGAACCTTGATTTGACTCACCACTCTTTCCCTCTTAAATCAATCCCCATAAGCTTCATTGATAGATTTTTCATACATTGATGTGAAGTACTGTAATAATATTCACCCATAGTGCCCTTCCCATTCACTCACCCCTTCTTACTAGCTACCCATTCCCCAGAAAACATCTGATTAACATTCTTGTCATCCTTTTAAATGTGGGTTAGTGGTTCATAGGAGATTCACCACAGTATTTCACACATGCATATACAGTATTTAGTCAGAATGACCGTCTTGCTTATTCGCACTTTCCTCATTCCCTTTATCTCCTGTTACTCAACTCTTTTGGGGGAGTTTTGCTATCTATATTTACAGATATGATGCATTTCATTCTTATTTTAGTTGCCCAATTGCATCAGATTTCGAAGCTTCTCTAGAAAAAGTCATCTAAGCAATAAACACGAGGCCCTGATTATTCTTGAGTAACTAGAGAGCCCACAAATGATTTTTACAATAATGGTAACATGGGTCAGATTGTTTTTAGCTAGCAAAGAATAATGTGAACAGATAACTATGTTTCTGTTGCCTTACCATTATTTCAATTTCTCAATTGCACATAAGAATCATTAGCGAAACCTCTATACTAAATAACAGGGTTTTGGTCACCACAGAGTTTTCCTGCCAACCAGCCTTTTAGGTAATATTTCCATTTATAAAATTCTGGCAATTTTCACAGAAGTAGATATTGACTGATTTATGGTATGATGCTATACCAGTAGTATGTTCATAAAACAGTTCTCCAGTAAAAGAGTTTTTAAAAAGCCCTGATTGATAGGATTTGTTCTCCTGTCGTAAATACTACAACTCTTTCCAACTTGATCCACCAAATCTTTAACAAATCATTCACAAAATTCTGAGATATTTAGCTGTTTCCATCAGAAGCTGCTTCAACTCACCATGACTGTCTATTCTTTTCCATCATCATGTGTTGAGATAGTTCACCTGGAAATTTGTTATAAAGTCTCCTGTCTTTCTTATGTTCAAAGACCTTAATTTCCAAAATAGTTCAGCCTTTTCTAACAACAAATTGAATCATTTATCTTCTGATTCTTAACCTCAATATTTTGTTAGCAAAACTTAACATGCATTCACATGCTTTTTTAATATGCCTTTTAACATTTATTTCAAAAGAGCAACTTTTTTCCCCTAAATTAATACTTGTTTTGAGGGTCCTGCTTTAATTGTGCATTAATCAAGGCCGTCAGTAGCAACAGGGTTTCTTGACCCAAATACATCTTCAGCATTGTCAACTGGTTGAGTTATATGTTTGTGCCTCTGTCCATCTGCTAATTAGGTGTTTTGCTATGAACTCCTATTGTTACAACCCAGAATAGAAACAAGTAAATATCATCAACTGTGTTTTCCTCTTCTCATATGCTGGAGGTTAGACATTTTACAAAAATAAATACTGTGTCATCCTTCTTGTAACAAAAGAGAAGGACCATTGAGTAATTGTTTCCCCAAATTAAAAAATACTCACTTAAGGGACAAATGACAAACATCTCTACTGATAGTATTTTGAAAGAAAAAAATCAGTACAATCTAAAAAAAAGACAAGTCTATGATTAATTCATTGTTCCATATTAATTTTATTTAGAGGATACGTGCAAATATTTTAATGTATTTGCACAGCCAATAACGTAAGTGCCAGCAGAAAACAACAGATGGCTAAAACATTTTGAAAGAGAAATTAATTATTTCCACATTTCCTAGGATATATAAAACTCCTGTTCTTGGTCTTGGTGGGAGACAGCTTACTAGACTTGGATGTTTCAAGGTAGCTGGAGGAATGAATTTATAATTCTATTACATGGTCTTGGTTGAATCTACACTCAACGAAAACTAACCAGAAAAGCTCTGAACACAGAAACCATTATCCTGCAGTCAACTTTCATTAATTTCACTCAAGGATAGTAAAGTCACCCTTGTCCTCATCAGCCACATGGTTGAGATTCCCAACATATGTGAATTCACCAGCACTCTACACCTGTCTGCTCAAAACCTTCACTTTCAGAGCAATACAACAAACCCCACTCCCTGTAGCCAGCGGGAGTTACAGATCAAATCCATTCCCTCTTGTATAGCATGGGCCTCCTCTCCTGAGACTCCAGGACTGGACCCCCTGCTGTGGTCCCCAGTGCTGCCCACTCTGACAGTATGCAAATGAGAAATGACAAAGAGCACCTGGAGACACTTACGGTTGGCACAGTTTGATGAGGTCCTGGTCAGTGGTCCCTGGTGGAAGGCCTCGAATGTACAGGTTTGTTTTACTCAACTGTTCCCCACTGCTGTTGCTGCTGCTGTTGTTGCTGCTGCTGTTTGTGCTGGGGCTGGGAGGAGCCATGGGGTGGGGAGCTGGTGCATAGGACTGCTGCAAACAGAAAGAGCTGTTACTGGAAACACACACACACACACACACACACAAACACACACACACACGCACACCTGTTCCCAGGCCAGCAATGTAACTTGAAAGCAAGCAAGCTTCTCTCTTCACCCATGCACAATCACACACACACACACACACACACACACACACACACATCCCTACACCAATGCTAGATGATGCCTCTAACAGCATCACTGCCTTCCCATTTTGACTCTATTTTTGGACACCAACAAAAGTCAGCCATGAATGGGACAAAAGAAGTTATCAAGTGCTCCTGGTCAAATCATACTGGTTTTGAATGTGTCCTGGACCACATTTACTATCCTAACCCCTATGCAAGAATATACTGTCTTCCTTCCTAATAAAATAAAATCGTTTAGTCATGGTAACGTACAACTCTCCCAAGCTTACCTTTTAACAGCTCTAGCTTTTTGAGAGGTGGGGTGGGATTGGGACAGATGGGAGTAGGAAAATGATGGAAGGAGTGACACTGATAAAGATGCATTGTAGTCATACATCGACATGTTGAACTGAAACCACTTTGTATGACTAAAGATAATGAACATAAAGAAATGAATGAATGGAAAGAAAGAGGAGGGGAGGCGAGAGAGAACCTTTCCAACTCTAATTTCCAGATTTCTACTATTCAGCTCAATTTCTGACATAAATCATTCCTTCAATGCTGGTAGCTCATGCCATAATCCTAGCTACTTGGGAGAATCTGAGAAGCTCAGTTTGAAGCCAGCCCAGTCAGACAAATCTGATAGACTCTCTCCAACAAAATGTCAAAAGTGGAGGTGTGGCTCAAGTGGTAAAATGTCAGCCTTGAGCAGAAAAGCCACGCCAGAGGATGAGGGTCTGAGTTCAAGCTCCCTCCCCTCCCAGCACCCCTCCCACCAAAAAAAATATATATGAAAGAAAGGTAGATGAAAGAAAAAAGAAAGATTAGAAGAAGGAAGAAATATTCCACAGACTCTACAAATGAATGAACAATTGAGTGAACTAATGGATCCACCTCAGCACCTTCCCCAATGCTAAACCTGCCTCCTCATCCTTAATGTTTCTAGATTGTTAGACAAAGCCACTACTCTCTTTTCTTTCAGATTCTTTAAATTACTCTAAGCCAGGGTATTAACCATAGGGACTCTGCACAGGAAAATTCAGTCCTCCTTGGGATACCGTCCTACCCCATATAGGATGCCGGGGCAGCATCCTTAACATGGGTCTACCAGACTCTAGTGACAGCCACACCTCCAGTGAAATGACCAAATATATTTTCAGATATTGCCAAATGTTTCCTGGTAGTGACAGAGTTCTCCTCTCATGAAAGGACCTTTCTCATAATCAGCCATAGCACGTTATATCAAAATGAAAATAATAAAATGACACCCCAAAACGTGGGATGTGTAGCGTGAAAACAATGCATTATGTAGATGTCAAGATTAGTAAATATATTTATTACGTTCAATTCTTTCTTTTAATTATTTTTATTGTAAAGGTGATGCACAGAGGGGTTACAGTTACATAAGTAAGGTAATGAGTACATTTCAGTGTTACCCTCTTCCTCATTTTCTCCTGCTTTCCCTCTCCCCTAATTCCCCTCCCTGCCAAGGTGAAAAGTTCATTTCCAACATAATGCCTTTTTGAGTATAACTGTTGGATTGGTTCTCCCTTTGTCCTGTCCCACCATTTCTGTGATTCCCCTTCCCTTCCCCAAATCAGATGAACTTATGTAAGACAAAGGGAATAATCCAAAGGAAAAAAAAATGAAAGAAAAAAGAAATAGCTGCAAACAGTACACTAAAAACAACAACAACAACAACAAAAAACAAACTCTCTTTCCATATCTTGGAGTTCATTTTGATTAGCATCTTTTTTTCTTGTTTTGTTGGTTGGTTGTAGGACTTGATCTCTAGGCATGGGCGCTGTCCCTCAGCTCTTCAGCTCAAGGATAGTGCTCTACCACTTGAGCCACAGTGCCATTTCCGGTTCTCTGGTGGTTTATTGGAAATAAGAGACTCACAGACTTTCCTGCCCTGCCCATGCTGGCTTTGAACCGTGATCCTCAGATCTCAGCCTCTTGAGTAGCTAGTATTACAGGTGTGAGCCACAGGATGGTCGTATGTAGATAGCTATTGAGCAATTCTGATCCTCAGATCAATTCTTTTTTATGTGAGCATATTCTAAATTTTAGAATTATACTGTCTGAGCTCAGTCCTTGCTGTACCTTTTGTTGTACACATTACCTTTAGACAGTAATTTAATCTCTCTGAGATTCAATAATCTCATTACTATGAAGATAATAGTAATAATAATAATAATATTCTGGGCCCAATGTTGTGTTATATACCTGTAATTCCAGCTAGTTGGGTGTCAGAGATAGGAGGACCTTGATTTGAGGTCAGCACAGGAAAAAGTTAAAGTGACCCTATCTCAAAACAAGTTTGGTGTTGTAAGCTATGCTTGTGGTTTCAGTTACTCCATAGACAGAGGTAGGAACACCATAGTCACAAGTTGTTCAAGTTAATGTTAATGCCAGATCCTGTATGAAAAGAAGCTAAACAAAAGGACTGCAGACATGGCTCAAGCTGTAGAGGACTTTCTTTAGCAAGCAAAAGGCCTTGAGTTAATCTTGAGTTAAATCTTCAGTACTGCAATAAAATAATAGTAGTGTTCTATGTCATAGAGTCTAAAAAAGCTTTGAGCTCATGCAAAAAAAATGAGTTCTATAAAATAACAACTGCATAATCAGTTAATAATAATAAAGAGGGAACAGCTTACACTAAGCAAAAGGAAGGAAATGTAAATATCATCTAATTGTATTGTCAAAGCTCATAGAATTCATAAACTTTCTAGACCATGATAATGACAATTTGCCTTGTGAAGGGTAGAATGTGTTTGTGACTTTAACTAAATATCACTATTCCACAATACTGTGAAATATGTGAAACTTGTGTAATCACCTAATCTCAATAAAAAAATAATGTGTAAGAACGTCTTGCTATTCATTCAATTATAACAAAGAATGGTCCTCAAGGCATGGTGAGACATTACATCAAGACTGTAGGGGAAGCTGAACTAAAGAACTTGGCTTCATCTGTTCCCTCAGCCTCAATCTCAGAGTACACCAAAATGTCTGACAGCCCTTCCTCTTCCTAGGCTAGGGTGAGCATCATCTGTATACAGAGACTTCAAACTTCCTCTCTGGCTTCCTTTTCCCTCCTACTTTTCTTTTGACAACTGATTCATTGGAATGGTGAAGAGGGGAGAGAGGAATAACAAAACTGTCACTTGCAATCATAGCCTAGCCAAGAATTAGAAATAGCAGAGAAGAAAGAAAGCAAATAAGGACAGGGTGTAGGCCCAGGGCCACTATTTCCAGTTTTAGAAATAAACATCTTCCCTTCTTTAGCTGTACTTAATATAGTATTAGTGTTTTAAATATGATATTTAGAGCTAGGGCCTGGTAACTCCTGCCTATAATCCTAGCTACTTAGGCAGCTGAGACTTGAGGATCGAGGTTTAATGCCAGCCTAGGCAGGAAAGTCTGTGGGACTCTTATCTCCAACTTAATTAGCAAAAAAGCTGTGGCTCAAGTGGTACAGCTCCACCCTTGAGCAAAACAGCTAAGGGAGATCATGAGGCACTGAGTTAAGCCCCAGTACAAGCAAAAAATATTAAGCAAAGAATGAATAAGTGAATGAACAAATGTACCATTTAATTTTTAAATAATTTGTTAGAATGTAGACTTACAAAGGAAGATGTGCTCTTTCTCTTTGTATTTGAATTTAATGGCATAATCCCATTCCATTTTGACATTCAACATCTCCATAACACTAAAGCCTCTTTCCTCATGTAACAAAATGGGACTGGCTTCATGACCCAATGTATTCTATTTCACCCCTTGGACATCCAAATACTTAAGCTTTTGCTTTTTTCCCCCAAGCCTTATAACACAGTAGTGTTCAGTAGGTACTGGCTGGAGTGGCTTCCTGTGTCATTCCATCTCACAATGGATCACGTGGTCTTTATCTGTTATGTTTTATTCTTTCTAAATTCCCAGGGCTTTTTAAAGCTGTTTGCTACCACTTTTCACCTCTCCTCTCTCCACATTCTTTGAATTCCATCCTGCATTCACACTTCTCTTAAAATGAGACTTTGTTTAAAGCAATTTTTCCCCTTGCATAGCCTTTAAAAACCACCAGGGAGCCAGAAAAATGTCTCCAGCTTTAAGTATAACAGATCAGATAGACTAGTGCAGACAGCGCCCTTGGCTGATCAAATAAGAGAGAGTCTGTACAGCATGATCAATACGTGTTTACTTAATTCTCTTTTTCCCCAGGGCTCTTTGCAAGCATTTCCATAGCCAGAACACCATTTAGCAAATTGCATGATGTCCAAAACCATAAATGTGCCTTCCAACAGGCTTAATGTATTCACTGGACATAACAAACAAACAAACAACAACAACTAAAACCCAGAACAGTATAAAAAAAAAGGTTGAGATGAAGATAGGCAAATGTATATGTGGAAGTGACATATTCACTATATAAATAGTAAAGGAAGCACTGGAATTCAGAAGGGTGCATTTCTGAAGCTGTTTGAAAAAGATATACCACTAAAGATGGTCTTCCTCTCTTTCTCTCTCCCTTCTCTTCCTTCTTTCCTTCCTTCCTCCCTTCCTTCCTTCCTTCCTTCCTTCCTTCCTTCTTTCCTTCCTTCCTTAACTCAGGAATTCAAGGCATAACACTCCCACTTGGCTTTATACTCAAGACTGGTGTTCTACCACTTGAACCATACTTGTAGCTCAGCTTTGTGCGGCTTACTTGGAAATGGGGTCTCTCAAACTTTTCTGCCTGGACTGATGTCAAACCTTGATCCTCAAATCTCAGCCACCTGAGTAGGTAGGATTACTTGCATGATCCAGAGCCAAAATTAAAGGTAGCTTTTTATATCTTGTCTTCTTATGTAAATCCCAGAAA